GCACTCCGGCCGCTAGAGGGCGCCGCTCTGCCGAGGACGCGGGAGACCTTGCGCCCCTGCCCGCGCGCCCAGCCCAGCTCTCCGCCCTGGAGCCTGGGCGGGCGCCGTGGGGCCAAGGCGCAGCTGGGGAAACCCTAAAGGTCGGTGGAGCGTGCGGATAGGGAGTGGCTAGGACTCCAAGGGACTGTTTATACCTGGAAGAAGGGAGGGCGCAGGGAGGGGCGGCTGGGGACCTTGTGGTCTGCCCTGCCAGGGGGCTCTCCTCTCCATAAACGGGGCTGGCGGGTGGGGATGAGGATGGAGCCCAGGCGTGGCATCCTCCCTTCGGGCCTGCCTCTGGGTGCCTCATGTGGGTAGCCCAGGCGTGTGGGCGCGGGCCAGAAGGGTGGTGTGTTGACCTCCCCAGGCCTTGCAAGGTGGGGGGCTGGAGAACTGGGTTCAGTTCCTAACCTTGCCCAGCCTTGGGTTTCTCTTGTGTTTAAAGCTCCCCCAGCACATGTTGTGATTAAATGACCCAGGAAACTATCCACAGGGTTGCGGGGTGGGGGGTGGCCGTCGCTGGTGGGCCCAAGACCCTCGGGAAGAGACTCATTCTCTCTGCCGCCAAAGCCAGATCTGACACATCAGAGGAGCTGAGATCTAGCAGTTGGCTCTGTGAACCAGCCCTGCAGCTGTGGATAGAGCTGCCCCAGGCCCGGGAACCAGCTCTCGCCAGTTGCTAGACTCTAACTTCCTTTAAGGAGCACCCATGTGTAGTGGACAGAAGGGGGGGGGGATCCTTGAGCAGGTGGCTGCTTCCTGAGGCCCATGCTGGCTCCCTGCGCACACTGGTGCGAACCTGGTCCCACACATCAGTGTCCTGGGACCCTCCTGTGGGGCGAAACCTCGACCCGTCCCAGAATAACACTGAGAGGCTTATACAGCAACATACTTAAAGAAACTGAGGAAGCAAACATCACCCCAACAGCTGTCCTAACGTGACAAGCGGGCCACCAGAAGCACTGGTGCAGCTTCAGGTGAGCCGGAGCGCAAAGCCGGCGGCTGAGAGAAGCCTGAGCACTGCGCTTCCTCGCGGACACTCACAATGGAAGCGGGTGCCGGCTTCCAGTTAGAGGCGGACAAACGACGGTGCCGCGTTTCCCGGACCCACAAGCCTGGAGAGTAAGTGCAGGGACCCAGAACAGGCAGCTCGTTTTGCAACCAGAGGACAGACACAGCCGGGTATCCTGCTGCCTCGGTGAAAGTTCCTGCCACCACTCCTGGGAGAACTCTCCCCATGCCGTGTTTTTCACCCTGGAATTCCCAGGTCCACGCTGCCGAAACCGGGGGCGGCAGGGGGGCGCTGAAGCCTTCCTTGTGCGCATGACCCTTGGGCACACGTGGGGTGATCCCCCCACCAGGCCACTCCTGAGCCTGCGCTGTCCTAGGCTACATGTGCAGGCGTCCAGCGCTCGGGAACTCTCCTGCAGTGACCGTCTTCGTTGGGGGGTCAGCGAGTGGAGGGCCAGGCTCTGCCGCCCGGCTGCTCTGAGCTCGCCTGCGTGTCCCTCCTGCGAACACACAGCGTGGCTCTTCCCACCTGGGAGGGGTCAGATGGTGCCACATCCCTCGGAAGCGGGGGGACGAGCAGCAGGCTGGCCGGCCAGCATGGGCCTCTCCCCAGGCCCGAGGGGAAGGGACATTTCCCTTCAGGAAACAGCTTCGTGGGACCTCACTGGGGGCCGGCGGCCTGCCCAGGCAGGACCTTCCCTCCCTGCGCCCAGACCTGGGTCCCAGCGGCTCCTTACCTGTGCTCAGGAGCTCTTGCAGGCTGCCCTGCTGTCCGCTGCCCTGTCTGGGGTGCTGCTGTCAGCCTCCAGCTGGAGCACTTGAACGAGCTCTATCTCAACCTGCACTTAGGTTTTGCTCAAGTCCCATCTGCTTCCGGCTACTTCTGTGATCAGTGGAAAACACAGGGCTGGGTTTTCTGTTTTACTTTTCCATTCCAGCAGTCAGGGGTCTGCCTCCACCGCCCCTGCCATCCTGTCCACGACCACCTGCCTGTTGCTCTCCTTTCCGTGTGTTGAGGGTGCGAAACAGACTGTGGAGAGCTCTCGGGCAGCTCGGCTCCGCAGAGAAGTCCGCACGACGGTAAGGAGGCCACGGACAGCCGCACAGCGCGTGGCCGAGTCCAGGAGGACGCGCTGGCCCTTGAGAACACCAGCATTGGAACGCAGCCAGGCACATGGGGTGGAGGCGTGCTAGCTAAGGGTACATTCCTAGCGGACCGAGAGTGCAGTCTGGTCGCTGTAACTCTGGCCATCTGTGTTCAGTGGCTTGCCTGGTGCTAACTGCCCCCGTGACTCATCGTCTGCCTGCAGCCACCTCCCAAGCCTGTATAGAGCGCGAGACAAGCAAAGGGCCCGCAGGGTGGATTGCTCAGTCCCCAGTCCCCAGACTGTCACACCCCAGGCCCACGATGCCGCGAGGGCTGACAGTGGAAGAGCTAGTAGGCAGGGCGGAGCGTGCCCGCAGTGGGAGGGAGCAGGGAGAGCCGAGGCGGGGCAAGAAGAGGCGGGCACAGAGCTGCTCGGGGGCCCAGGCAGAAGCGGGAGCTGTGGCGAGGCGGGGCTGGGCGCAGGGAGATGCCAGGCAGTGATGTCCTCAGGTAGGGGCCACTTCATCGCCACCTTCAGCACCACACCCATGTCCACTCCACGGCTCTGTGGCTGGGGGGTTGCAACGGCTATTTCTGAATGCAGGGCTGTGAACTAATGAGGTGGACACGGCCGAGCGCGAGAAGCTGCGGTTCTGACCACTGCAAGGCTGGGCCAGGCTCTGGCCGGGCACCCAGGGTGGCGGGGAGGCGTCGCCTGGGCCTGGCAGCCGTGCCCGGCTGCCCAGAGGCCCGGGGTCAGGGTGTGGGCCGGGGGTTTCCTGACTGACGTGGGGTCCTCGTGAGGACGGGGCGTCCTGCCAGTGCAGTCATCTGCGGCCCTCGGCCCGAGGTCCGGCGCAGGGCCGGGCCGCCATGTGTGTCGTGGGGTCGGTCACGTATCCTGGCTCCCTCAACACGTCAGTCACACCCGGAGCCCGCATTGGGGAGGGGTCATTCGTCCTTGCTGTGTGTTGTCTCCGCTACCACGGCCCACGGGCCAGCCGGCCCCACAGACGTGAATGCCAGGCTGGGCTTGCTCTCTGGCACCCCAGTGTAAGGTCGAGGCCCGTGCAAGGATGGGGTGGGCCCCCCCAATTCTGGGACCCGCCTGCGCTCTGGGGACCGACTCTGCCCGCTGGCATACTGATAAGTGTCGCTGTGTAATCGTCTCCAAAAAAAAAGCCAAGCAGCTTCCATGTCCTGTTTTAGCTTAACCGTGTTCCCCAGCGGGGGCGGCTCTCTGACCCTGTGGGGGCGGTGAACCTCACCCCGGAGCGCAACGAAGGTCCAGCCTGTCAGAAGCATCGCCTGGCTCTCGACTCTTCACCCAGGACCCTCATTTGGGGCCCTATGAGGTGGGGTGGCCAGATGCGCGGCCCCCTCTGTTCTCTGAAATGCCCATGTGTCCATGCCGGTGTCTCTGGGGTGCTCAGGAGGCTGGCTTGTGGGGGCCCAAAGCACCCCTCCCAGGGGCTCTGGGGGCCCTGTGGTGTGATGGGGAGCTTGAGCGTGGCCCCTGCACCTGCGGGCACATTCTGCACCGCTGCTGCGGATTGCACTGACCTCAGCTTTCTGCCAAGACCTGAGGGCTCCCCCTTCACCCTTCCCCGCCTCCCCCCTCTTCTAGCTCTCAGCCCCCCAAGCATCTCGCACACCCTGCAACAGGCTCACAGCTGCCCCTTTTGCAAAGGCTACTCTGCTCCCTCCTGGCCTTGTCCTGGGGTGGCATGCCGCAGGGGGGGCGTGCTGGGAGGGAGGCCCAGCCCCCGAAGGTGGAGCCAGTGCAGCAAGCCCCCCCACCCCAGCAGTGACGCCAGGAGAAGGGTGGGGAGAGGGAGGGGGAGCTGGTCCCGTGGGCCTGGGCGTGGCCAGCGCTCTAGGCGGTTTGTGAACAAAGTGACATTGGCCTTGGGCTTTCAAGACCGCAGGACTTCAAAGGGTGTTTTGCAGACAGGGAACAAGATGAGCGACAAGGGAGTGGGGACAAGGTGCTTGTTTGGGAACCGGCGAGCGGCGGCAGAGGCTGGCGGGGGCTGCCCTCGACACAGCCCCTCATCCTTCTGCAGCCTGTGGGGACCCAGCGCCCCCGAGACCCATCATACTCAGCCACAGCAGTGATTTTTCCGGACATCAGTAAGTGACGAGTAAGAGGAGACCAACTGGATGCGAAATCGGCTGCTCTCTCCCTTGGAGAACCACGTGGCTCTGGTCCCCGCGGAGACTCCTGGGCATGCCCGCGCCCAGGGCGGCCGCCCAGCGGGCCTGGATGCAGCAGGGCGGGGGGCTGCACCCCGAGTGAGTTCCTGGGGCAGCCGCGCCTAACCCGTCCGGCATTCCGCCCACACTGGCGCTGACCACGTGCATGACCGCCCAGTCGCCTTTCTCCTATGCCTCCAGCTGCAGAAAACCCTGCAGATCATGGTCCCCAGCCGTGGTCCCCGATCTGCCAGGGCCTCACCCTGGGACGCCTCGGCCTGGGAGCCAGCGGAGCCGTGGGCGGGCGGCCTGGCTTGCCTGCCTCCGCCTTGGCCGAGCCCCTCAGCGTTTCCCCAACACGGGTCGGGGAGCATGACTCAGGCCCCCTCAGCGTTTCCCCAACACGGGTCGGGGAGCATGACTCAGGTCGGGGAGCATGACTCAGGCCCCCTCAGCGTTTCCCCAACACGGGTCGGGGAGCATGACTCAGGTCGGGGAGCATGACTCAGGCCCCCTCAGCGTTTCCCCAACATGGGTCGGGGAGCATGACTCAGGTCGGGGAGCATGACTCAGGCCCCCTCAGCGTTTCCCCAACACGGGTCGGGGAGGCGACTGGGCCAGGGCCACAGGGCCGATGTTTCCTTCAGGGAGAAACGTGCAGGCACCAGCTGCAGCGCTACCGAGGCTCCCTGCGACTGCTTCCCCTGCCCTTGCCACGCCCCTCCGACCTGGGGGTGCCTTGTCAGGGGCTCACTCTGCCGCCGCAGCCCCAGAGAGCCGCTGCTCACCAAGGCCGGCGCCCGCTGCGGCTGACCTCACACTGCACGCGGGGCCACTCGGGAAGTGGAGCCCCGGGAACAGTGCTGGAGAGAGACGGCGGCTTCGTTCCGTCATGTGTCCCCCTGAGCTTCCCCTCGCTACTCACCTTATGATTCAACCTGTGGGTGGCTTTGCGGGGTGCTGCTGGGGGAAAACCCCTGTGGTCTTTCTGACTGGTGGGGCGGCAGCAGCAGTGAGAAGCATGTTGGAGGCTGGCGGAGGGAGCAGCCCCCCATGTCTGCCTGGGCCCAGCCCCTCTGGGCCCCCCAGTGTGGTGGGAAACCTGGCATCTCCCCTGGAGGAAGGTGAACGGACCCCACAGGCACAGTCTCCAGCTGATTCTTCCCACCTGCGGAGACCGGCTCGCACCCCCGCTCCCAGGCCAGACAGCCTCGTCCGCTCACCCTCGTGAGCCCTAAGGCCTGTTTGAACTTCTGTGTGTGATGGGGCTGGGCAATGCGGGGCTCGCAGGAGTCCCCCTGGTTTTGTGCCTCTGTCCAGCTGCACAAGCACAAATGCTGGGGTGTGCGTGGGCACAGCCTGCGCCCAGTGTCCCCACCCCCTGCGCTCCGGCACCCCGCTGTCTGTCTAGCCCCTTACTTTCGGGGTCTTGTTAGTGCAGCGTGAGCCCACACGCCAGGAGGGCTTATTCTTGGAAAGGCTAATAGTAATGTTCTGTGCCGGGCGGTCATCGGGTCCTGGCCATGCTGTTTACGACGTGTCCAGGAAATCCGTCTTGTCTGTGTTTCACAGGCGAGAAAGTGGGAGCTCGGACACTCAGGGAGCTGCTAAGTGGTGGAGGCATTTCTGGAAACGCGGTAGACGACGAAGGTCACGGGCATATGGGGTGAAGGACACCCACCGGTTTTTTCAGATAGATGGTTGCATTTGGAAGGCAAGAAAAGTCTAAAGTTCAGAAGCAAAGAAAAAGCCGAAACCCAGTGGACAGCCTGGGGGAGAGAAACGGGTCTGGCCGCCCCCAGCGCTGTGAACGGACTGGATCGGCGGCGGCCGGCGGCCGGGATGACGGAGGCTCCCGGGATGACGGAGGCGCCCGGGATGACGGAGGCATCCGCCGCCCAGCGCCACCTCACGGTTTCCTGGAGGAGACACCCAGGCCCACGCGGCTGGAGCGAGGCCCAGCCCAGGAGCCAGCTGTCGCCCCCTTCAGGACAGGCCCAGACACGCTCCCCTCCCCACTCGACGTCCCCCTTCCCGGTTCTGGGGGGGGCCCCCCACAAAGACGTGTCCGGCCACACCTTGCCTCTCGGGGAATTCTTTCCTTAGAGGGTGACCCACTCTTTTGGGTCACACCGAGAAACAGGTTCCCCCCCGCTCCCCCACGGGCACTTCCGGACAGGGAACGAGGCCTGGACACTCCGCGCAGAGCTGACCGCGACAGCCACGCCCGCACCCGCAGGCCAGCTGTAGGGATGTGCTGCCCACCCAGGCCGCTGCCAGCGAGGTCAGCTGCTGCTCGTCAGACTTACATCCCAGGCGCCCGGGCTTGTGGGGAGCCAAGGAAATCACCCCACAGCTCTTCGGGCTGCTCCAGCTGGCAGGTAATCAAACAAGCAGCGGACAGCTTGATGGTAGGAAAAGCCAGGGGCGAGTTCGAGATTAACGTGTGTGGGGGAGGCCCACGAGGGAGCTGCCCCCGGGCTTTAGACGCCTCAAACAGCCTCGCTGGGACAAAGGAGTTTGGGGGACGGGTGTTCAAGGTACTTCTGTCTTCTCCCCAGAAGGGATAGCGGATCAGGCCTTCCTGCAGTTGACCCTTCCGGAGAGGAGTCTAGCTGCAAACACCAAAAGCAGCCTTGATGTCAGAGTCCCTCCCTGAAATCGAGCTCGGGGGGCTTATTTTGGGGTGGCAGAATCCGGCTGTAGTGACAAACCAAATACCAGCCCCTACCCCTGGGGGGTTTCTGTTCTGTTGGGGAAGAGACAGAAAATAGTTAATAAACAACACGTCAGCATGGTGAAAGGAGTATGTCTATGAGAGAGAGCGAATGTGGGAGGGAGCAGACCAGGGTGGTGGCAGGGCCCGGGTCTACCTTGGTCTAGACACTGGGAAGAAAAAAGTTCTGGGCTGCAAATTCGCAGCCACAGGTGGCTCTTGGGGGTGGGAGCGTGGCTGGGGATGGAACTGACCGTCATTATTTGCATGTGGCAGAGACACAAAAGCACGTCGTGTCCACCAGCTGGCCCCATTTTCTGTCCCTTCCCTGGCCACTGCCGGGCGAAGGGTGCGGTCAGACGAGTCCTCCACCGCCTCCTGGGTACAGCCCGCCCACAGGTGGACATTTCTCGGGGCGCTCGAGGCCCAGCCCAGGCGCTGGGTCTCGGGGAGCTCGGGCCCAGCCCAGGCGCTGGGTCTCGGGGAGCTCGGGC